TTGTTGGGGAGGAGTGGTGCATCTGCTGCTGTTGTTGTTGCTGCTGCTGCTGCTGCTGTAGCAATAATTGCATCCGAACCCGTTGTTCTTGCAGCTGCTGATCGTCCGCTGCCTGCTGGGACGCTCGTTGTGGCGAATGCCCAAGCGACTGGTCTTCAGGTTGTTCGTTTGGGGATTGAAGTACTGACGCCGGTAACGAGGCCCTCCGCTGCTGCTCCTGCTCAGCGAGTTGCTCTTGTTGTAGAGGCGGAATTCTATCCTGACTCTGCGATTTTGGCCCCGGGCTCATTTGTTGTTGGATTTGCGATCGTTGGTTGTAGTGCTGAGCTGGTTGCTGCAGCTGCTGTTGTTGGGGTAGCATCGAAGCTTGTTGAGCTTGTTGTTGGTTTTGTTGTTGCTGTTGTTGATGCACATGGGCCGGGCCGGCGCTGTTCGGCGTGAGGGGGGTTTCCTGAAGAAGTATACCGCCGATGGCCAGCGGCGCTGCTCTCCGTTGGGGAGCTCTGAGCGCCTCCTCGAGACTCATCACCGGTGGGAGACCTCCCTCGTCCTCGTCCGAAAGCTCCGGGGGGACTTCCTCCGCCGTCGCGGGAACTTCGTCTTGGACTGCGGGCGTCGTTTCGCGGAACAGTTCGTCTCGGAGACCGGGAAGGAAAGCTTCCACTCTGTCCCAGGTCACGTTCCACAGCTCGGTGCACTGTCCCGCTTCCGTACGGAAAACACCGGTCCAATACATGACGAGCAACATGTTTTTAAGACATTCCCGGATAGCGTCCGATAGCATCTCACCGCCTGCCTCTCGGAGGTTTATATATTTGTCCATGTATTCAAGGATCGTTAACCAAAGGGCTGTGAAGGTAGGCAGGGTGAGAAGGGGCGACAGATGCTGGAGGAGAACTTTGCTCAGCAACGTGTTCACGCGCACGCGGGTTTCCTGAGCGACCGAGGCCTCTTCGTCGACGTTCCTCTCCAGGAGGCTTTCTGAATTGTGGGCGCTGCTCCTGAGGCTGGCTGTGAGCCGTGATTCCGAGCATCGAGGTGCAAGTGCCGACATGCGAATCATGTGCAACAACGCTCGGAAATTTCGCGATTCGCTATCACAGATGTCAGGCGATCTTCGAGTTCGAGTGGCCATAGCAAGAGTGAAGTGATAAAGGATGCTTCGGAGAGAACACAGCCAACATAGTTGGCTGTGCTTCGGACCATGATATTTAGCGACGAAGGCTCAGGGGTAGGATCGATGAAATTCCAAGCGCGATGAACTTGATGAATGTTCCATTGAAATTCCATACATTCGTCAGACGACGAAGGCTCGAGTGAAGCAAAGGCGGTAGCGAGCCCTAGTCCATCATCGCAAACGCAGCCGGAGCCGGGGTCTCGACAATCCAAGCAAGATGATAGTAATGTCATTATGCCGCATTCAGTCGTTCCTTTCATCCTCCGATATTGTGAGACAATGTATTCTGATTTATCCTTGCCTGTCAGATCCCATTTGGAAAGACTTCGTGAGGATAAGCGAGGATAAGGCTCAATGCAAGTGGTGCCCGAAAATCTTGACAACGGGGAAAAAAAGCTACTCGGGGCTCCGGGGACATCTGAAGCTGCACGATAAAGACGGGCCCGTCGTGAACAGGGGAGCGGTCAAAAACTGGCTCATCGCAAGTATGATAAGCGTCCTGAACATACCTTGCAGGGTTTTCGGCTCCTTAATCATACGCGTTCTGTTTTGGCTCGCACGACTGGGCTCGGTCAGCGAGAAGATAGCAAGACGTACTCTGGATTCGGAAGCTGAGTAAGTCAAACAATCGTCGCTTTCGCGGGAGAAAATTCCTAAAGGCCCCGAGTATGCGAAATGTGAAATTCATATTTTATCGAATATCGAATACCTCCGGATCCATGAGGCGCGTTGTCTCCGACAAAAATAGACATTGAACATCGATACGCAGGCGAGTCAAAACGGGACTCAAGAAGGATGTTCCAAAGCTGAAGCAGGACGGGGCAGTCTTTACCATCACGGCGGACGAATGGTCTTACCAAAGGAAGCGGTTTCTCGGTAATCTCTCAGGCTCCCTCGGGAAGTCACTCGAATTTGCCGGGAAGCTCGAATTAAGAGCTAAGCGACATTTTTTTATATTCTAATAGTCCAATGAATCAATCAGGCATCACATTGCACTGTTCTCGGGAGATTCCGAGCATCGAAGGCAAATCGGTTCACCTCCCGTCAAGGTTCACCGATACCGCAACGGCCGAATACTTGGAGGAAGTTCTGTGTGAATGGCTAGCAGCCATAGCCATAGGCCATAGCTCTTGAGCCATCGGACATTAGCGGAATGTCCAGTGATGCCGCCTCCGTCATGATCAAGATGGGAAAGAATTTGGAGAGAGCCGCGGCTCCGAAACCGAAACGATCGGAGCGACCTCGAAGCGATTATTGGTAAGGCATGTCTCAAATACTGACCACATGCCGATGGTTTCATGACCCTGGAAGATCTCTTGAGCTCTTCGGTTCTTCCCCCAGTTCTCCACGGAGATGAAAATTCGCTGAATCCACAAAATGGAAGCGAGTCCGAAGAGACTAGCGGTGTCAATAATTTCCCATCCTCCGACAATTATTGTGTAAATATTCTCTTATTAATAACTCCCGCCTTTGTGTTGTGTTTAACATTCGAGATTTAGCGCGCTTCCCAGAAACAGCGTCAACGAGCTGTCACTCAATAAATGATCGATCATTCCCGTTCGGACGGTCTCGAAAGGGACAGCGTGTCCTCACTTAAACTAAGGGTGAACCGTAACACTTTGTGTACTTGTTAACGATCTCACTCTCTCTTGGAGAGACACCACATGCACATTTTCAATAAAGCATTCGAGTAAAAGTCGTGCTCAATGCAAGTCGAATCACGAACGATCGAGTTCTCAATCTTGCGCGTCAAACTTGTGCTCCGAGTTTAAAAGTCCCTCAGTGCTCGAATTCGGCAGGCATCATCCATTTCGACAATTTGGTGCAAGTGACCAGGATAAACCCGTTTCGATCATCCGAATGCCTGTGGGACACTCGCCGGAGCAAAACGACCGCTTGCTGCGGCACGTTGGGGCAGATCGCGTGCCTCAAGAGCCCGCTCAGGATCTCGCCCCGAGCCTGTCCGTCCGTCGCGGCCGGAGAACTCGAGCCAAAAATGCGCTCCTGGAAGAGATTCGGGCGATCAGGGACATCGATCGAATTACGGATTCGAATCGCCTCGAATTTCTCGGCGCTAAATCCAGAACCCGAAGCCGCGTTGAAATAATCCGAGCACTCGCGGATCAGATCTGCAGCCATAAATCGCTCCCGGCCAACGATGCTGAGCGTGAAGCCGAAGAGGCTGAGGTTGCAGTCGAAGCCTGTTTGTCGGCGACGGCACTCGTCGATGCTCTAATGGAGCTCCAATCGATAGAGAGCGGCGTCCACAGTGGTCAAAAATCAATTCCTAGGTGGACAAAATTATTTCGATGATGTTTTCGATAGAGTTCCGTTTTCTGAATGAGGCGTGAGACTCGGAAAGGGTTTCCGGCCTCCAGCTCGCCCGCGGAGACGATATTTGAGGTCTTGAGGACGTTGTTCATTGAAATATCCCACCAACTTTATGCATGCAGATTTGAGAGAGACGAATGCTCCACGACTTGAATGATGGGTGCCCAACGGATAGGGACTGCCTTCTGGTTCATCGAATATCTTTATTCCAGGACGTTTGATACCTCAGTATGTACATGATAAGTGATAACTAATGCGTATCCGCAACGATGTGCCCATAGCTCCGTACGATTTGCACATCCATTTCATCGCCTGACGTCTCTATCGTCGTCCTCACAGGCTTCCCTGCTCAGCTCGCCGAAGCTGTCGTCCACGTCCGAGTCCCTAGAAAGATCGGAGCCTTCTGATTCAGTTTCGCTGTCCGTTTGCAGTTCTGTATCAAGACGAGATGTTGGAGCTTGGGGCTTCAATCGAGCTTGGGCTTCCGGTTCCAGGGGCGCACTCTTCCTACTCTGCACAGGCTCTCGGAATTGCGCGATGACGAGATCCGATGTTATGAGAAGCATCGTCATTAGATCGGAGTTCGAGTGCTCCCGACTATCCTTCCTAGTGTGGTACTCCCGGAAATAGCGAGCTTCCTTGTTTCGTGCCTCCTGAGATAGCATGCCCGGCTATAATTCGATGTCCCCGATTAAGACCTAAAATCAGCGAAAATTTGACTTTTTTTCTTAAAGCCCTTAGCGCAAAAATGCGCAGGAATCGGAGATGTGCTTTAAAAAGCGGAAGGCTTGAAGAGCTTTCAAAAAAAAGAAAATTCCCGGGGCAAGCCGGGGCAAAGGTCCTACATGAGCAATTTAGGTTTTCGCCTATTGTCCGCCACGAAAGAATTTTCCCTCAGTCGTATCGATACAAATCGCAGTTCTTCGCGTCGGTGCGTCCATGTGGGGGGTCATCCGTCCCTAATTTTCATCGTATCGGGTAGTCTGAAACATTCAAGTTTGAGATATGGGCGAAAAACGACCGAATAATTTTGTCCACCTAGAAATCGATTTTTGACCACTGTGCGTCGAGTCGACATTGTCCGGCTCATCGAGCGGGTCGGCTGCCGCCGTCGGTAGTCAAACCCTTCCGCCGGTAGCCGCCGCGAGCGGCGGCGTCGTCGTCGTCGTCCGCGGATCGCTATCGTCTGAGCGATCGGACGGCGGCCTCACGTCAACATCAGCTCGAGAAAATGTCAACAATGGCTCGAATACGGCGAACAAGTGCGCGAACTAAAGACTATTCTCAGACACTGCCCCCGAGGTTTTCGAAGGAAGCATCGCCCTATACAAGCTATGGAAGTCTCAATTCCTAAACTACGTCCGAAGCCGAAGCGAGGCCACAGGTCGCGACAAGTTGGTCGCTATGTGCAAACTCTTAAGAGGCCCTCCGAAAGATCTCATCTGTGAGTTACCGCTGACCGACAGCAACTACGAGGTAGCTCTCCGAGTACTCGATGAGAATTACGACGTTCCGGATCGCCGACAGCAGGATGTACTCGCCAACGTAGTCAACGTACCAAGTGTTCGTCATGCGTATGATACGGTTGGCTAGCGTGAGTTGTTAAATGTCATTCAGCGCACTATCCTAGC